CTCATCTGTTTTATGTTACAGATAACTATTACTCCCTCTCCATTGCCATACTTGAAGTTCTGCACATTCCTCTAAGAATGTGGAGCTCCTCACTGAATACAACACATTCATGATGATTATCCCCAACACTGAAAAAATATTTGGTGGTCTATTATCTGCCAGTCACTGTTCCAGTGATGGGAGACAGCAGAGAACAGGAGGAAGCCCTGATAATTACAGAGCTTGCATGCTGTCTGAATGGACAAGTAAGCAAATAAGGTCATCTATTGCTCAAAGAATTCAATAGTAAACATCAGCATCAAGGGGGGGAGGTTTGGTGGTCAGGATTCCCAAGCAAGGTGATATTTAATCAGTCTGAAGGATGAGAGAGATCCATCTTGGCTAGGGAAAGAGCATCCCAGGCTGCGAGGCATGTGCAAAGGTCCTGAGGTAGGAATGTGAAACCGAGATAATGCCAGTGTGACTGAAGAGTGGTGCACTAAGGAGAGCTCTGCGATAAGTCTGGACAGGCAGGCAGGGCAAGATCATCCAGAGCTTTGTGAGCAGGCCACAGTAAGAAGTTTGGATTTTATTCTATGTGCTACTGGAGTGTTTTAATGGAAAGCCATCAGGGTGTTTTAGGCAGTGACTTTTTTTAATTGCCCTGGCTGTCATGAGAGATGATGGTGGCTTGTACTACTATGGTGGGAGTGGACATGGGGAAAAGTATTCAGATGTTTGATGTATTTGGAGTTAAAGCCAACAGGGCGTGGGTTTAACTTGTGGGAAGTGAAGGAGAGAGAGAAATCAAAGATGACTCCTAGATTTTTGGTTTGGGCAGTCGGGCTGCTGAGCTGGGAAGACTAGAGGAAAAACAGGATTATTTACTTTAATAGTGAAATCATCAAGAATGGTGATGAGGAGGGAGTGCCCATTTAGATGGGATGCTGCCTGATTCATGAATTGCTTAATAAAGTCAAATGAATATTCAAATTAAACAAACAAAAAAAGTGCTGATGAAGTAGTGGTGAAGCCAATGAAACCTCTTCAAATGAATGAATGGGAGTGTGCCAGAGTATCCATAGGATAAATTCATTCATTCAAGAAATATTTATTGAGCCTCTATTATGTGCCAGGCACTGTTCCAGGCTGTAGAGGTGGTATTGCTGAATCAGTGCTACATTTTTTTGGCTGCCTTGTCTCAACATAAATTACAACAGCCATTTGAAGAGGGTCCATGTCTAATGCTGCCTTTATTTTCACTGCCTCGCCTCATCTAGCATATTATTTGGACACATACTACCCCAATATATATTTGCTAATTGACTGAACAAAATTACATTAACAAGATTTCATGTAAGTGTAAATACACTAAATCAGTAGTCTAACACTACTAGTATCTCAATATGGTAATCAATATATTCCTAGCGAAAGGTGATAGAAAAACATTGAATGACAAATTTTTAATACCATAATCTATAATTTCTTAGTAGTCACCTAAAAATGAAAACTATATTGTTTATTTAAAAGGTAGTATCAGCCTTGGCTGGGTAGCTCAGTTAGAGCATTGTCCCAATACACCAAGGTTTCAGGTTCAATCCCTGGTCAGGTCACATACAAGAATCAACCAATGATGCATAAATAAGTGGAACAACAAAAATCAATGTTTTTCTCTCTCTAAAATCAATCAATAAATAAAAAATTAAAAAATAAAAGCCCTGGCCAGGTGGCTTCATGGGTTTAAGCATCGTCCCATGCAACAAAAGGTTGCAGGTTCAATTCCCAGTCAGGGCACATACCTAGGTTTTGGTTTGATCCCAGTGGGGGTGCATACAGGAGGCAACTGATTGATGTTTCTCACTCACATGGATGGTTTTCTTTCTCTCCCTCCCTCTCTCTCTAAAATCAATAAACATATCCTCAGGCGAGGAAATAAATAAATATATTTTTAAGGGAAAAAACTC